CCCCCAACCCGATATTCGATATTTTGACAATTTTGGGGGCATTGTTTACCGGAGTCGATTCAAATTTCCTATTTGGAGTTCGTAATTGGAACTGCAGTCTATGCCAGAAAATTGTCTGTGCAGATTTAGGTCTTCGTATATATCAGTAAATCCCTATATTCAGTATTTTAACGAGTTTAGGTACAATATTCACCGAAATTGTATGAAATATTAATTTTTCTAAAGTTCCTAATAGGTACTACAGCCTGTGACAAATAATTGAGTATGCAGGCCCACGTCTTCGTATAACCTCCATATAATGGTACCTCCCAATATTCGGTATATTGATGATTTTAGCGATATTATTCACCGGAGTTGCTTCAAAATTCGTATTTACAGTTCGTAATGGGTACTATGGGTCTGGGTCTGTGCCTATGCAGGCTCAATATATCAGTACCTCCCTATATTCGGTATTTTGACGATATTAGGTAAAATATTCAGCGAAATTGTATGAAATTTCGTATTTGAAGTTCCTAATAGGTATTACTGCCTGTGACAGATAACTGTCTATGCAGGTCCAGGTCTTTGTATAGCCCAATTGTAACTTTTTCTACACTAAAAAGTATGAATTTCTAAAAACACCACAATGTATAAATGCTTAACACACGTACGGGTCTCTTATATAAAAATTCATAATTCCGCCTTTATTTCCACACCCTTCTTCAAATTTAGAACTTTTCGTATACTGTAAAATACGGAGTTTCGTAAAATACCACATTGTCTCCTTTCCACACACCCACAGTGACCCGTCTACCAAACTGTCTCCTCTTTTCCTTTACTTTATATCAGATTTAGTGCCATTTAATGCTTATCGCGCACTAATCCACCTCCATATCTAAACGCAATGCAATCTCAGTGATCCCGATATCAATGTTCAAGAGTCACTTTTCATAAAATTTAGTACGACTTAGTACTTCTCGCACAAGTTTTAGAACACATTTCTAATTTTCTCACAGTGCTTCAAATTCCGAAACGAACAATTCTAACTCTTATCCCACACTATATACGAAATTTAGTACTTCTCGTACATTATGTAATACGCATTTCCAAAGCACTTCATTGCCCACTGTGGCTCTTCTACAACAATTCCTGCGCTCTATACCAAATTCTATACCAATAAGAAAATATAGCGTCTGACAAAATTCCAATGATTTTTTTGTTTTTTTTTTTCGGGATATCTACTTAATCTTAACTCAAATTTTAAATTCGGCAACTTTGCTTAAATAAATTTTTTGTTGAAATATTTTAATGTAGTGGAACTTCCTCTTCAATTCAATAAAATCAAGTTTGATTAATTTCATTACTATTTCACTATCAGCATATGTTGGCACTTTTTCTTTCAAATGCAAAAAAAAAAAAAAAAACAAAAAAAAAAAAAAAAAATACATAAATAAATTTGAATGCCACGTTACAAGGAATTCCACTAGTCTATGCTCTCCATCCATCCATCCATCCATCATAACTACAAGTTGATTTGATTTGCATCATGTTTAACTGGAATTTAATGCAAAGCGAAAAAACAACAACAACATCTACCAGCAAAAGAACAAATGCATTACGGAAACAACATTCAAACGAAGTTGAGGATCAAGGCTACATTCAAATTTAAATTTTTATGCAATATTTCTGTGATTAGTTGGGCGCTTAGACAGATAGACATGGAGACAGCAGACAACATTTTGCATTGGAAGTTTCAAAAAAATTCGCTCAGACGGAGATCGGAGGCACTTGACCAGTTGCAGAAAAACTTCAATTTGTAATGACAACACCAAAGCAGACTGGAAAACCAACTCTGGACGGACCACATTACCGTTGCCAACAGCTGTTACTGACTGACAGCCAATATCTCGACGACAATTTCCAGCACCACCACCAAATAGTCGTCTTTTAATGAATTCGTTTAATTTTAATTTGGCCCAGTAAATTGGTACACAAAGACGCGAACGATAAGAAAAAAACCAAAAAGCATTCTGAAATTGTAACACCGACAAAAATCACCAAACAATTATAATTTGCGATACTTTGTGACAATTGAAGTCATGGAGATCCAGATCGACGGCGATTATTAAATGACAAGAATATTCATTCACTTTTTTCGCTGTTCTCTCCAAATCAGATCAGCAGCCGCTGCTGTTAATGGTGGCCGTTTTGTGGTTGAGGTTCTGTTACAAGCCAAAGATTTGGAGTCATTATGGTCGCATATCCAAAATGTTTGTCCATCGCCAGTGTATAAATTATTGCATCAGATTTGCACCAAATCGAATTTAAGTTAAAAGTTACGATTCTGTTTTGTGTGTTTGTGTTTTTTTAGAGCAACACAGCCGCAGCCAGCACAGCATTCATTAAAGAGGCAAACTAGTCCAATTTGGGCCTATCAAACATACACTCTAGCGAAGTTGGCCAACCACGGGCACGTCAGAATGGTAAGAGAAAAAATAAGACTATAACAGAGAATGCGATCAAGAAATGTGGATCATATACTGTTATAGCATATTTTTTGTCGATCGAAAATCATCCATTAACTGCTATAGATTACTTCTTGAACAGGTTCCCCCGCTTTAATATTTTTTGAAATTATCGTATTAAAATTTCTTAAAATCCTGTTATTTTAGGTACACGTGGATTATTTTGTTCGAAAATGTCAGCTCTTAAGTGTGTCATCAAAGGGCGCCTTTTAAGTCCTTTTGGAGGTAATAGAAGGGATTGGCAGATATATATGATCTTCACACCAGATCTCGTGTTAGCAAGAATGTTTGTATGGGTGAAAGTTGAAGAGAGTTTGATGCTTATTTCGCTTTCTTTGAGCGATTTGTTTTTCAAATCTTGAACCCTATGGAGGGAAGTACCAGAAGAAATGGTACGTCCTTATAACACATCTTTTATTGATGGAAATATTGAGATGTACCAAGTCTGAATGGAATCGGATGTTAATTTCGCGTTTTATGAGTTTCATGAATATTCAAAATTTTGACCCTTTGTGGGGGAGGTCCCAGAAGGAGTAAACCGATACATCCCACCTTCACAGCACATCCTGTGTTAGTAAAAATAATGAGATGTGTGAAATATGAAGAGAACCGGATGATTATTTCGGTGTTGAAGGAAATATTGAGATGGTGAAAGTCTGAATGGGATAGGATGTTAATTTCGCGTTTTATGAGTTTCATAGATATTCAAAATTTTGAGGGGGAGGTACCTGAAGCAGTAAACCTATATATGCCATCTTCACAGCAGATCTTGTGTTAGTAGAAATAATGGAATGTGTGACATATAAGGAGAATTGGATGCTTATTTCGGATTTTATGATATTAAAAATGTTGACCCCTTGTGGGGGAGATATCGGAAGGAATGGATTGATATATTCCATCTTCACACCAGATCTTGGGTTAATAACAATATTGTGATCTGTGTAACTAGGACACTTACATCACATTTTATTTGAGTTATAAATGTGGTGGTGTGGTGTTCTATACGAAGGCGTGGACCTTGATAGATACTTTTTTATCATACATTGGAGTACCCATTGCGAACTTCAACTACGAAATTTGAAATTATTCCGGTCAATATTGTCGCTAAAATTATCAAAATACTAAATATCGGGAGGTATCGTATATGGGGGCAATACGAAGACGTGGACCTGCATATGAGTTCTTTTGTCAAAGGCTGTAGCAAATATTACGATTTTTTAATACGAAATTTAAAACGATTCCCGTGAATAATGATGCTGAACATATCGCAATATTCCATTCGGCAAATATAAAAAAAAAGCTCGGGGTAAAGCCATTGAAATTCTAAAAAGTGCGAGAACTTACACCGCAACTCAAAAAAGCTAAAGAGTTGCTTCGGTTGGCCGATGAGAAAACATTCGTTGTCCAGCAGTTTGTAAACAAACAAAATCAAAGAGGTCACCTGGAAATGTGCACCTTCGGTTGGCCACCAGAACTCAAACGCGGGCCATGGTGATGGTGTGGGCTGCCATAACAGCCGATGGTCGCTTTCCGCTCGTATTAATCGACCGTGGCATCAGAATAAATGCCGAATATTATCGCGAAAATATTCTGGAGGGTATATTGAAGCCTTCGACACGCAAATATTTTGTCCGCAGACCTTGGACATTCCAACAGGACTCAGCACCATCGTATTCAGTACGCGCCACCCAAGAATGGTTACAAACAGAGGTTCCTCGCTTCATTTCCAGCGCACAATGGTCATCAAAATCTCCGCATACCAATCCGTTGGACTGTTTTGTCTGGAGTATTTTGGAAAGCAAGGTTGGCAAAAGACCAAAGTGTCGATCACCTCAAGCAAGCGCTTCGCCGGGAATGGGCCAAAATACCGCAGAGCAACATTCGGGCAGCTTGTGACGGTTTCATTGGCCGTTTGAAGGCCATAATTCGTGCGAAAAGTGATCAATTCGAACAAATCTAATCTTATTCCAAAATTTCAGGCTATTTTTTGCTTTCATTTAATAAAATTTAAAAAAAATGTATAAATTATGGCGTTTGACTTTGGAGCCGTTCTTTTTATCTCAACCTGTATATCCTTTGTGATGGAATGACAAAGATAATATGCCCTCCATGAAATGGTGGAGGGTATAAAAATATATGCCAAAATTGGACTAAGCGGATGGACCATTTTATGCGCAGTCGGGGGTCAATATTTGTATGAAATAATCTTCAAGCTTTAAATTATATGGATCCAATTTTTAGTACCTTTTACTACACTCATAGTTCGAATTCCCAAAAAATTAAGCCTTATCTCAGCCTTACACACTAAAATTGAACCACATCCAAAATTTCAAGAATTTAGTTTGAGCCGTCTTGTCTGGGAGTTGATGAATCAGTTAGTCAATCACTCACTCAACACTCCATTCTTTTATATTTATACATAACCCTATATCGCACGTCTAGATCATGCGGTGCCAAATAGCTCTTGCAGTTGAAAAGGAAACATAGTCCTGGACCACAACAATATGCATTCAACCCCATATGGCACCCAGAACTCGCAGCAAGAAACATTTAAATCCCATTCACTTTTCACAATGTTTCCTAGGAACATCTGCAGATTATCTTCAACAAAGTTTGTACAGCTCCGATTTGTTTGACAATGTGCGTTTTGGCAGCGGAAAACTAAATAAATCAGTTCGCGCATGCGCGTACCTTGTTAGCATGGGTTTGGGCTTGGCTGGTTGGTTGGTTGCACATTTTCAAATTGGTGATCTGAAGAACAAAAGTTTTTCCTCTAAAAGGCAAAGGCTGGGGAAAAACGAGCAAAACAAAAAAGAAGAAGAAAAAAAAAAGGTGATTGAAACAAAGAGACGACAAACAAAAAAAAAAATAATCGCGAATCACTCATTCGCTCACTCACAATCACCACTGGCCGGCCAGCCGGGCCGATCCGATGAAGAAATCATCCGCATTTAAAGCGAAAAAAGATCACCAAACCAGATCTTTCAAATCTTTTAGATTCGAGGAAAACCAACAACAACGACGACGATAATGAGTGGACGACGAACAACAGTTCGATTGGGGTTCTTCTAAAGAGAAGTGGTCACAACAACGCACCAAATGAAATGAAAAGCCCCGTTGTCGTTAAGAGCATTACCATTACCATCATTCGAGCCATGTTTAAGATGTATACCCTCCATCATCCGTATACAGAAGCTGCTACCAAGATTGCTGAGCAGTTGAGATGGTGTCTGTGTGTGTATATATGTGTGAGTGAGTCTGGGTTTCGCAGATAGATGGCCATTGTGTGGCAAGATTGACATTCCTTCGAATATAAAAGTGGAAACTTCTTTCAGAATGCATCTCAAACCAAACTTAGATATTTGCTAGCTAACAGCAATAGCAGAAACACAGCTCCGAGCTTCTTAGGTTTCCTTGCAACCGACAGACAACCAAATAATCACTGATCATGTTTAAAAAGGTAAGGATGTGCGGGAATGCACTTATTTTGTGGCGTAGCGAATAAATAAATGGATTCCTTTATTGTGTGTGTTCGTGTGTGTGTAGGTGCTCTTAGTGCTCAGTATGTCCTTGTCGATGGCCATTTCGGTGCCTGTGCCTGGTGGCATTGGTCATGGATATGCCGCCGCACCGGCGATTTCGTATGCCGCGCCCGCAGTTTCGTATGCCGCTCCTGCAGTCTCATATGCCGCTCCTGCAGTTTCATATGCCGCTCCTGCAATTACCTATGCGGCGCCTGCTAAGGTGGCCGTTGCAGCCGCTCCCGCAGTTGTTGCAGCACCCGCCAAGGTAGCTGTTGCCGCCGCCCCTGCCATTGTAAAGGCAGTGGAACCAGAGCCATACGATCCCAATCCACAATATAGCTTCTCTTATGGAGTTTCCGATCATTCCACCGGGGATTCGAAATCGGCCCATGAATCACTGGTTAATGGTGTGGTACATGGAAGCTATTCACTGACCGAAGCTGATGGTTCCATTCGTAAGGTGAGTGTGTTAATCGGAGACATTTTAATTGGTTTAATTTTAATTTGTGTGTTTTATTGTTGTTGTTATTCTCCAGGTAACCTACACAGCGGACCACATTAATGGTTTCAATGCCGTTGTGGAGAAATCTGGAGGTGCTGTTATTGCCGCCAAACCCGTTGTGGCTGTGGCAGCTGCCCCTGCTGTTGCCAAGGTAGCTGTGGCCGCTCCAGCTATTACCAAGGTTGCCTACGCTGCTCCAGCTGTCGCTGCTGCTCCCATTGCCGTTGGCCATGGTTACAGCTATGGCGGCTATCACCACTAAGTCATCACGCCGCCCCCTCCAATCCAAAGCCCTTAACGCCCACCTTCAATGCATAACCATAAAAAGGCAGTTCTAGTTACCAATGTTGGGAGTGAAATGCAGCCGCATCCATTATCTCAGCCCAACCAAAACGACGACGACGAAGCACAACGTATTCCGGACTTTGATGTGATCCAACCCTTCGAAGATGGGACAGGCAAATTGTCTCGTCGTAAAAGTTTATAGTTTTTAAGTGTGTGTTATTAACTTATTTGTTTTTGTTTCTAGTTTCATTACTCACGTACTTTCTCACTCTACTCATAGATAGCATATTGTTTCTCTGTCTCCTACTCCTGCTCCAACTCCAACTTAACTCTGTGTGAGCTTTGCTTCTCATTTGCATGTGACAGGATACTACTCGCTCGCCGCTCTCTCTCTCTCATCTAGCTTTGTCTTCGCTTGCAAATGAGTCGATACGCTTAAATAAGAAATTCAGATATGAAAGCGAGTCCGCCAGATATGTGTGGGTGAGACATTGATTGTCTTGCCAAAGGACCGCTTAGAGGATTTAATATTTATTTTTTGTTTTTCGAAAAATTTGATTCTTTCTGCTCATTATTGTTGTTGTTATTTTTTTGTGTAAATATTTCATGGATACATGTCTGCATCATGCACGCATGTATTTCCTTATTATCATCATCAGCCGCCATGTATCCATATAGGAATTTATTGTATCTGCATATGTGTAAGTGTACATATGTAACAATGATTATTATGTGAGTGTGTTTTAGCATGTAAGTGACTCGTATTTCTCGTAGATAGAATTTTTGTTGGTTCTCTCCAGAGAGAAATCGTGTGCATTTACTGAATAAAAAGTTCAGTACAAAAATATAAATATAGCTGTGTTTTTTATCCAATGGCGAAAAGTGGGACAAAGGGGACAAAAATTCGACCGAGCTGAACATTTACATATGATAGATCACAAAATGTCTTATTAGAATAACATTCCACTGAAAATGTATTAAAATGTTAAAAATGCCTAAAATCGGATGTACTCTATACATCCATATAACAGATAAATCACAACCTGAACCTAGATGTAATTTTCGTGAAAATTAATTAAAGGAAAATTAATATTTCTATCCACCTAGATCCACCAAAAGAGGACATATTTCAGACTGCTCTGATTTCTAAGCCACTCGCCCGACAGCTGTTAAAATTATTCCAATGACAGCTCATTATATTGTTTACAAGCGTACAAAAGCATTTTGGTTAGAATTTTCCAGAAAAAAAGTTATTCGTGTTGGAATTCAAGCGTAATAGTTTAATTCCATGATATTAGGCTGGAAAACCACAGGGGGCTATCGTTAAAGCACTTCAGCATTTAAACGTGAATAATTCTTTTGTTCTTCGTACCATCGCTAGTTACTCTGATATTGGTAGCGTAGCCAGACGTCAAGAAAGTGGACGGAACAAAAGTAAAGAAGCGACTTGATCGAAACCCGCGTCGCAGTGACCGAAAAAACATATCGCAATATTCCATTCGCAAATATTGAAAAATGAGCTCGGGGTAAAGCCATTGAAATTCCAAAAAATGCAAGAACTTACACCGTAACAGAAAGAATATAGACTCAAAAGAGCTAAATAGTTGATTGGCCTGACTAAAGTGGTGGCGATGAGAAAACATTCGTTGTCCAGCAGTTTGTAAACAAACAAAATGATCGTGTTTACTTGCCAAAGAGGTCAGCTGAAAATGTGCACCCTCGGTTGGCCAACATAACTCAAGCGCCGGCCATCGTGATGGTGTGGGCTGCCATAAAAGCCGATAGTCGCTCTCCGCTCGCTCGTATTAATCGACCGTGGCATTAGAATAAATGCCGAATATTATCGCGAAAATATTCTGGAGGGTGTATTAAAGCCTTGGGCAAGCAAAAATTGTGGCCACAGACCTTGGACATTCCAACAGGACTGATCACCATCGCACTCAGCACGCGCCACCCAAGAATGGTTAAACAATGAGGTTCCTCGTTTCATTTCCAGCGCACAATGTCCACCAAAATCTCCGTATAACAATCCGTTGGACTATTGTGTCTGGAGTATTTTGAAAAGCAAGGTTGGTACTAAAATATACCAAAGTGTCGATCACCTCAAGCAAGCGCTTCTCGCTGAATGGGCCAAAATACCGCAGAGCAACATTCGGGCAGCGTGTGACGGTTTCATTGGCCGTTTGAAGGCCATAAATCGTGCCAAAGGTGATCATTTCAAACAAATCTAAACTTATTTTAAAACCTAAACTTATTCCAAACTTGTGATGGTATTTCCAACATATTTTGCTTTCGTTCAATAAAATTTAAAAAAAATGTAAAAATTAAGGGGTATCACTTTGTTGCAGTTTTTTTTATCTCACCCTGTATGTATGTCCAGTGTATAGAAATGGCGCCCAAAACATCAGACACATTGAAGTCAACTGTTTTGATTATAATATTTTATTCGATACCGTTATATGGAGTATTTTAAAAACCTGAAAACCATTTTCGGCGATAGGTTTAAAACAATAAGATTTCTAAATATCAAACACACAGTTACTAAATGGATATTGACGTTAACGCTTTTTGAGCCCACATTATTTGACGTAGAGCGCCAAAATTTAGCAGAGCTATTTACATTGTGTCTAGGATGGTTGGTATTGAAAATGAGATAAATCGGTCCACGTTCTGGTATAGTCCCCATATAACGGTACCTCGCGATATTCGGTATTTTGTTGATTTATGCCACATTTTTACGGATTTGTCTGGAAATTGGTATTTGTAGGTCATAACGGGTCCCTGAGCGTGTGGTAAAACATTGCATGTATAGGTCCACGTTGTGGTATAGCCCCCATATAAAGGTACCTCCCGATATTCGGTATTTTAGTTTTTTTTTGCCACATTTTTTTCACGGATTTGTCTAAAAATTGATATTTGTGGGTCATAATGGTTTCCAGCTTCGGTGGCGAAACATTGCATGCATGGGTCCATGATTTGATATAGCCCCATATAACGGTACCTCCCGATATTCGGTAATTTGATGATTTTTGCCACATTTTTTCACGGATTTGTTTTAAAATTGGTATTTGTTGGTCATAATCGGTTCCAGCTTCGGTGGCGAAACATTGCATGCATGGGTCCATGATTTGATATAGCCCCCATATAACGGTACATCCCAATATTCGGTATTTTCATGGTTTTTGCCACATTTTTTCACTGATTTGTCTATTGTATTTGTTGGTCATAATGGGTCCTAGTTCATGTGGCGAAACATTGTAATTATAGGTCCACGTTTTGGTGTAGCCCCCATATAACGGTACCTCCCGATATTCGGCATTTTAATGGTTTTTGCCACATTTCTTCTAATGTTACTTTTACCCTAAGGTGGAGGGTATTAAAATTTTGGCCCGACCGAACTTACTGTTTTTTTACTTGTTTTGGCTAAAATTGATTCTCCGCGCTAGAAACACTAGATCTTATATTGCAGTTCGGAAATCTTAGGTTATGAATATACATTCATTCTTTCTTTCAGTGTCATGTTTTTTACAACTTCAATTTGTCTCTGAGTCGGTTTAAAGCTAATGTTTCATTTACATAAAGACGACATTTACAGCTCAGCGATGATTAATGGCTGTTAAGCCTCCGTCGAAAGCGACAGTTGTTGGTGGTGGTAATAACCGGTAGTGGGTAATGAGCCCAGTTATTAAATCAAAAGAAGACGTCACACTCAACTGACGGTAATCGCTCCTAATGAAATAATGAATGACTTAACGAAGCGTTTAAACGTTTTGCCATAAAAATAAATATAGTAACTATATTTTGTTACATAGTTGTTTACGGCGAGGTTGATGACGCTGATGTATTAAACTTGGTAACACAGTGACTAACTGACCACCAAGTGGCGAGCGAGTAAGTAATTTGTTTTTGGCACGTTTTCTATGGTAACTGTAAACAAGAAATTTGGCGTTTCCAATGACACCATGCGACTATGGTTGGGTGGGTGAATGAATACCCGTCAAAGGGTGAATCAATGGCTTTCCATTTATGTCGACTACACACGCACACACATACACACCTTGTGGGTTATCTACATTTATGGTTTTCCACAAAATTATGTAATAAAGGGTAGGTGGGTCAATTACCAGCCAACTACCAGTTGATTGAATGCAATATTTGGATAATTTTGGCAAAGGCCAAAAATTACACTACCTAGTTGCGGCTGCTGCTTGGTTGGCTGGCGATCAGTTATAGTGCAATATTGTAAATTATTTTTTAGCATATATGGAAAAAGGAGGGTTAAATGGTTGCCCAAGTTAGTGGCTTGGGATACTTGGGACATTTTGGTTTTCTTTAAAAAGCCTGTCACTGCCAATGGAAGACATCAGTCAAATACTGCAATTAAAGTGATCAACACTTAATCAGTTTTTTTATTACAATCTAAATCAAAACAATATTTTACCCAAGCATAAAATGGCTTTCCTAAAGGTGAGTGAGTTAGAGTGTGTCCAGTGTCGTTGATTGGGGATCCATAGAGTTGAAATAAAAAAAAAAAAAAAAAAAACAAATAACGACCCCAAAAAGGAATAAAACCAAAGCAGGCTTCCGAAGGTACATGCGTTTGAAATTAAAAATGAGTGTAAATTTTGGCAATGGTCTTTAAAACAACGCATGATATTATTACATCCTGCACCCGTGTTTGTGAATCAAAGTTGCTCGAAAATACGTCTATATCTTGGAAACCAACTGGAATATTGTTTTATTTTACACCTTTGCTCTATTTTACTGACGACTGAAAAATATCTGCAAACTGGAGTGTTTGAAGAGCACGATTGTAACATGAAGCTTACTCTTCAATTTTTGTTTTTGAAGCGCTCGCGGATTTTCCCTATTTTGTTGTTAGAGATTGTCAACAATGCTGCTTATTATAACCTCAGCCATACGGCAAGAGAGGATGTATATCATTTGATACGGCCAAACAGTGCCGCATCGAAATAACAGTTTTAGACCCAAGGTCTCTTTGGACCAAATCCGTTTCAGGGCTTTTGGAGTCGATCTACCAATGTCCGTCAGTCCATCCGTCTGTCTGTTTGGCTGGTTGGTGCCCACGATAACTTTCGGAGGGAGTTTCCGATTTGGTCCAAACTTGGTACATCGTAATATTATTATCAAACTTAGATCGAGGTCGGAGATGGGCAATATCAGTCCTCTGCTACTGGTACAGTTCGACTGGGGGGAACTGTTCAAAGAAAATATTTTACTGCACTGAAAGAGAAAGGATAATTCGATTGTGCTCCAACTTTGCAAATCCTAATTTTTAAATCAGTGCTAGGTCAGGTGCGAAAATGGATAATAACGCTCCACTCCATCAAGTACCTCCCGCACAAAGGGCCAAAATGTTTGAATAATTATAACTCTTATAAAATGTGATGTAAGAGTTCGATTATCTTCAAATTTCACACACCCCAATAATTTTTTCAATCCAAGGTCTGGTGTTAAGATGGAATACATCGGTCCACTTCTTCTGGTGCCTCCCCCACAAAGAAACACAATTTTGAATAACAAAAACGATCATAAAATCCGAAACAAACATCAGGTTCTCTTCAAATTTCACACATGGAATATATTTGTCTACGCCTTCTGGTACCTCCCCACCAAAGGTCGAAATTTTCCAAAAATATATTTTTTGCACAGAAAGAGAAATGATAATCCGATTTTGCTCCAACTTTGCAAATCCTAATATTTGCGTCAGTGCTAGGTCAGGTGCGAAAATGGACAATATCGGTCCACTCTATCAAGTACCTCCCCCACAAAGGGTCAACATTTTGAATAATTACAACTCTTATAAAGTGTGATGTAATAGTCCTATTATCTTCAAATTTCACATATCCCAATAATTTTTTATCTCAAGGTCTGGTGTTAAGTTGGAATACATCGGTCCACTTCTTTTGGTCCAAAAGGCCGAAATTTCAAAAAAAAAGTTTCTGCACAGAAAGAGAAGCAATAATCCGATTTGGCTCCAACTTTGCAAATCCTAATATTTTTCTCAGGTGCAAAAATGGATAATATCGATTCACTCCATCAAGTTCTTCCCCACAAAATGTCCAAATTTTGAATAATAATAGCTCTTATAAAATATGATGTAAGAATCCGATTGATTTAAAATTTCACACATCCTAATATTTTTATAAATTTAAGATCTGGTGTTGAGATGGAATATATCGGCCAACTCCTTCTGGTACCTCCCCCCACAAATGGTCGATATTTTGAATATCCATTAAGCTAATAAAATGCGAAATGAAAACTCGCTTCCATTTAGACTTGACAAATCTGAATATGTCCATCAACACAGGATCTATTATAAAAACGGTAGAGATCGGACCATTCCTTCTGGTACCTCCCTTACAAAGGGCCAAAACTATGAATAACCATGAAGGTCATAAAACGCGAAATAAGCATCAGGTTCTCTTTATACACAAGATCTGTTGCAGAGATGGGATATATCAGTCCACCCCATGTGGTACCTCCCCCACAAAGGCTCAAAATTTTGGATATCCATGAAGTTCATAAAAAGCGAAATTAATATCCGACCCCATTTTAGACTTGGTACATCTCAATATTTCCATCAAAACAAGATCAGTTATAAAGATGGTAGAGATCGAACCATTTCTTCTGGTACCTCCACCACATAGGGTTCAAGATTGTCAAAAACAATACGCTCAAAGAAAGCGAAATAAGCGTCCAATTCTCTTCAAATCTCACACACACAAACATCTTTGCTAACACAAGATATGTTGTAAAGATAAGATATCTGGGAACCTCTTCTATTACCTCACCCAAAAATGGTTCCGAAACAACTCAGCGATTCTTTACAATTTGCTGTATCTAAATATTTCTTTGAACCAGAAACCTGATATGAATATGGAATTTATGATTTCGCATAAAATTAGTTTTAAATGTTTGATTTTTTTGTAATTTTTCCCATACCAATAATTTTATCCCATATTATTCTTTTTCCCTTTATTCAGATTACTTTCATCTGCTTGGCTATGGTCGCTGCCATGGAATGCGCTCTACTGAGAACAGCTGCCCCCGTTGCTGTGGCACCAGCCCCCGTGGCCGCTGCTGCCGTTCCTATCAACACCGATTTCGATCCCCATCCTCAGTATGCCTTCGCCTATAATGTACAGGATGCTTTGACCGGTGACAGCAAGAGCCAACAAGAGGTTAGAGAGGGTGATGTTGTAAAGGGTTCCTATTCCGTCGTTGATGCCGATGGTTCCTTGCGTACCGTTTTCTACACCGCCGATCCCATTAATGGCTTCAATGCCGTTGTACAACGTGGTCCAGTGCCAGCTGCTGTAGCAGTGGCCAGACCCGTGGCTGCTGTTCCTGCTCGTGTATTTTAAGGGATCCTCTGTTTCATCTTTCTTCCTTTCTTAGGCTATCCATCTGTCCCTCTCTGTTGCTCTATAGTTACTTGCTTATGACCATTTTGTTAAGTAATTTTTTAGGTAAAAGTCATTAATATTTAAAATATTTGTTTATTGTTGTTATCGATAGTTTGTATTTAAAAAGAAATATATTTTTTTATAAAAAAATCTAAGGCCCAAGCAGTTTTTTTCGAACCACCAATCCTTTTTTTTAGATTGCAGCTCTGAAAGTGACACATTAAATTTGTATTACGCACACCTTGTCTACAGTGGGCTGCCGGTGCAATGACAATGATTTAATGCCTAAAATTTCGATTCTTGATTTGAGTTGTTCGTTTTTTTTTCTTGGTTCTTGCCGTTGTCTCTTTGGTGGGTTTTTATCGTATCTTGGTAATAAATCAATTTGTTACGAGCTATTCGAAATACTAAAAAAAAAGTGGATTTATCAATGCAACAGTTTGCGCCCAGAATTCTGTGCAGAGAGGTGCAAAATCTCTTATTAATTGTTTTGGGAAGTTAGATTACTTTTAAATATTAAGCTTGGAAGTTAAGCCAAATATTTTACATGAATTTTATTTAATACGAAATCATAAATTTCGATATATTATATAGTATTCAACTCAGATTTCAGTTTAATAGAAATATTTAGATATAGCAAGTTGTAAAGAATCGCTGACTTGTTTCGCAAATTATGACAGATAAAAATATTAGAAATTGTAACCCTTGGTGGTGAGGTACCAGAAGGGGTTCGCAGATATATATCATCTTCACAACAGATCTTGTGTTAGCAAGAATGTTTGTATGTCTGAAATTTGAAGAGAGTTGGATGCTCGTTTCGCTTTCTTTGAGTGATTTGTTTTTCAAAACCTTGAACCCTATGTAGGGGAGGTACCAGAAGAAATAGTTAAATCTCTACCATATTTATAATAGATCTTGTTTTGATGAAAATATTGAAATGTACCAAGTCTGAATGGAATCGGATCTTAATTTCGTGTTTTATGAGCTTCATGGGTACTCAAAATGTTGACCCTTTGTGGAGGAGGTGTCACAAGGAGTGGACCGATATATCCCATATTCGCACCAGACCTTGGGTTAATAAAAAAATTGCGACGTGTGTCATTTGAAGAGAACAGAAATCATAGAAACCCAAATAATTTCTATGATATTATTTGTTATGCCAAACTTTGACCCTTTATGGGGGAGGTACCAGAAGGAATGGTTCGAGCTGTACCATCTCTATAACAGACCTTGTATTTATGGAAATATTAAGATGTCCTAAGTCTGAATGGAATCAAATTTCAATTTCTATGAGCTTCATGAATATTCAAAATTTGAACCCATTGTGGGGGATGTACCTGAAGGAGTGGTCCGACATATTATACCAGATCTTGTGTTAATACAAATATTGGAAGGTGTGAAAATTGAAGACAATTGGACTCTTATTTCTCATTTTATAAGTGTTATAATTATTCCAAATTATGACCCTTTGTTCGGGAGAGGTACTTGATGAAGTGGGCCGATTTTGTTCACTTTCATACCTGACCTAATTTTAATAAAAATATTGGGATTTGCAGAATCGAATGATCTATGAGGTAAATTATGTTCTTTGAAAATGTTGACCTTTTTGGGGGAGGTACCAGAAGGAGTGGACCGATGTTGCCTATCTCCGAACTAGATTTAAGTTTGACGATAATATTATGATGTACCAAGTTTGGACCATTTCGGATACTCCATTCGACAGTAATCGTGCTCACCACTCAGCCAAACAGACGGACGGACACCTTGGATCGACTCCAAATGTCCTAAAACGAATTTGGTCCAAAGCGACCCAATTATTTCGTTTTGGCCGTATCTGTAGCTGAGGGTATAACAAAACTTTGAATATCCTCCAACATTTGGAACGAATTTGGAAATTTTCAAAAAAATAAAATCTGGTAAAAATTCTATTAAAATCTTTTTAAAAGTACCGAATATGCCGATATATTGGGGTCTATACGAAGTCGTGGACCAGCATAGGTAACTTTTGCCATAAGCCATTAAAATATTCAAATACGAAACTTGAAAAAAAAAAATCCTGTGAATAATGTAACTAAACTCATCAAAATACTGAATATAGGGGGTACCGTTATATCAGGGCTATACGAAGACCTGGACCTACTTATACGATTTTTTGTCATAGGCTGTAGTATTCATTAAGATATTTATCTTCCAGGTGGTAAAAGGCTTAGAAAGAACTTCTAGTAGTAATTTTTTGACAATTCCATTGAAAAATGTAGGTAAAATCATTAAAATACCGAATATATGGAGGTGACAATATATGGCGGATATATGATATCATGGACCTATATAAATAATACTCTTCCAGGGGTTAAAGTACTCAAAAGGATAGACTTTTGTGGATTTTCTGTTATTAAAAAATTGGCTACAATCATCAAAATAACAAATTTTCGGGGGGTAACGTTATATGGGGGCTATTCGATATCGTGGACCGATATTGCCCATCTTCGAACTTGACCTGCCAGCAAACAAAATTTGTGTAAAATTTTAGCTTCCTATCTATATTCGTTTTGACTCTAGCGTGATTGACGAACGGACGGGTAGGGCTAAATCGTCTTAGAATTTTATGCTGATCAAGAATATATGTTAAAATTATTATTTTGATGAGTTATAAACGGAATGACGAACTTCATACACCCTCCATACTATGTATGGGGGAGGGTATAAAAACATGTTCTTTCGGATACAGGGTTGCCCATATTCGACGGACCCATCTGGCAACGCCATAACTTTTGATGTCACATCGCTTAATGACATACCGCGTTTGAAGCGTCAGTCCTACCAGATTTTTACCATGAACCAATACACACCACGCGAGCACTCTGAAATAGTTGAAATTTACATTCAACAGAAGAAGTCAATTGTGAAAACTCAGCGTGCTTTTAAAACATTAAAAAATGTGAAAAGTGCGCCTTCTTAGAACACCATTAAGCGTTTATACGAAAAAAATTCGACTGGTAAAGCTCTTTCTAATCCGAAGAAGCCACATAAAACTCGACCAAGGCGATCGGCCGAGAATATCGCTGCCGTACGAGCCAGTGTTGAGAGGTCCCCAAGAACATCCCAAAAACGCCGTTCTCAGCAGTTGGGCATGGCTCGGTCCACTTTACAACGGATTATTCGCATTGATTTGCATTTGTTCCCGTACAAAATTCAATTGACACAAAGAATGTTGCCTGCGGACAAGCCTCGTCGATTGGAATGGGCCCAAAGAGTCATCGAAATGGCCGAAGATGACGAGCAATTTTGGAACAAAATTATCATGTCCGATGAAGCCCATTTCACATTGAATGGGACCGTAAATAAGCAAAATTGCCGTTTTTACGCCACTGAAAATCCTCAGAAGATTCAAGAAGTGCCTCTTCATGACGAAAAAGCCACAGTTTGGTGCGGCGTTAGTGCGAAAATGGTCATTGGGCCGTTTTTCTTTCAAAATGAAAATGGCCATGCTGTTATCATCAATCAGGAGCGTTATCGCGACATGATGACCAATTTTGTGATGCCAATTATTCGTCGAAAGCGTATGAGGCAGTTCTGGTTTCAACAATACGGAGCTCCACCGCACACAAGTCGCATAACAATCGATTTTCTGAAGAATTTGTTTCCGGGCCGTTTGATGTCGAAAAGTGGTGATTTGGACTGGCCACCGCGTTCGCCCGATTTGACGCCGCCTGACTTCTTCTTGTGGGGATATTTGAAGTCAAAGGTTTACGTTAACAAACCAAGGACCGTAGAAGAGCTCAAGGACAACATTCGTAGAGAAATAGCCGCTATTCCGGCCGAAATGTTGGCAAAAACGATGGAAAATGCAGCAAAAAGGGCACAATACGTCATCAACGCCAGAGGCGGCCATTTGAGAGATATCATATTCAAAAATTGATGTAAACAAATCTATTTGGAACAAATTAAATGATTAACATTGCCAACCGCCAAATTTTAATTTTTTTTTCTTTGATTAAAAAAAAAAAACATGGGTCCGTCGAATATGGGCAATCCTGTATATTACAGTGTCATATATCGTTGTTAATATTTTTATAAGGCAATTATTAAGATGTTAATTACTTTACCACTTCATATTAGAGCAACAGAAATTACGTCTAAACTTTCCAATTCAATATGCAGATTTTCCAATCAACTATCAATGGCCAAATGACCCTGTCATACCTCTATCGTGTCTGCAGCAATGGCAAGAGTTGCACAATTCCCAAGGATTGGAACTTAATTAATTCAGCATTTTGAATTGGGTGGCAAAGTGGAATTTATTTCAATTCTTATCAGTTTCTAGACAAACGACAATTGCTGATTAGCTTTTTAATAATCTCGCTGAGATGTAGAGGCGTTTTAGTTATTTTTTTTAACAGAATAGGTTTATTTTAGCCATTCACACACACAATGCAGGCAACAATAAAACCAACGATGCTGGCCAAAAAAACTCCATTCAATTTTGTGCCGAAACAAAGCAAACGGTAATGTGCACCGACCACGGCTAAGTTGCGTGCGTACCAGCGGCATGTGCTGTGCACAACAAGTTGCGTGTGTGTTTGATCACACGATCGCCACAAATCAGATCAGCAAAACACACAAAACGTAACACGAACCAAACCAACGAACAATCCCCAGTATCCAGTCAAATCAAACGGAACGGATGGAAGGTCCTTCTTCTGTCCCTCGCCCAGGCGGCCTACACTTCTTTGCTTGCAGGCGTCGACGACTTTGGGGCCGAATTGCATTTCATTTCAAAAATCAAAACCAAAAAACCACACCTTGAATTCACTTCACTTGGAAATTTTATGCGTTTCATTTCATAGAAACCAAGTTAATAATATTCTTGTTGTTGGCGTTGCTTTTATTAGTGCCTGTATATTTTGTTACATTTAAACTTTTTTACATGCACCCGAGATTTGTTTTTTTTTTTTTTTTTTTTTTGCTACAAAATACAACAAAATTCCTTGCTCCCAAGTGGACAACCACAAGAGCGCCTGAACCATATCATGACTTGTCTTTGTGGTCAAACATGTGTATGCACTCCAGCCGTATCACTTCACCAGCGGC